CTTATCCTTCACCACTTTATATCTTACTCCTCACTTTCCTAGCTGTTCTTTACTATTCTGCACTATCGCCTTTTCTCCTGTCCTCTGTCCAGAGCTTACCATTATCTAGTACGCACTCGGTTTCTGGATTTGCTGCGACTTCCGAGGCATGCGCAGAACCTCTATTATATCAATATTATTAATAATTGTTTTTTATAATAGTTTATATTATTTATATTATTTATATTATTAAAAATTTTATATTATTTATATTATATTTTAATTTTTTTATATTATTTATATTATTAAATATAATTATTATTGACATGAGGATCTGAGTGCAGATGGAAGAGCAAGAATAAATTATTCTGTTATTTTATTAATTAGTAATCACGAATTTTTTGACCGATTTTTCGATCATCTTTAGCATGTAAATTTATAGAAATTTTAGTGTATAAATACAATATAAAAATTTTTTAACATTGATCTCCGCGTATAAATTAAATACAAAAAGTCACCAGAATTACATCGAATCAATACATTTTATGAAATAATTTTATCGTAAGACGTAACGATTCGATGTAATTCTGGTGATTTTTTGTATTTAATTTATACGCGGAGATCTATGTTAAAGAATTTTATTATATATTGTATTTATACGCTAAAATTTCTGTTAATTTATACGCTGAAGATGATCAAAAATTGGTCGAAACGTTTGTGATTATTTATTAATAAAATAAAATAATTTATTCTTCCTCTTCCATTTGCGCTCAGATCCTTATGTCATTTATTAATTTATTTGAATGATCAGGGATCTTTTTAATTTATTTGATTTATAATATTATATATATATATATATATATATATATTTAATTTAATTATATTATAATATTATTATATTCATATTTATATATAAATAATAATTAATAAATAATATTATAATATATAATAAATAAATGACATTTTCTACTTAAAGGAGAGAAGGAGAAGTACGACGGAGATACCGCGATAGACAAGCGCATCCGCGGTGTTCGTATAACCGTATAGCTGTCTCATTCGCACTCTTTCAATTCATTGTCGAGTGAGTGAGACAGCTATTGGACACCACTAAATGACACCACGTCTTGTATTGCTTCCTCTCTCGATCATACGATGTCCGAGAGAGATGCAATATCGGAGTACCCCCCTACTACTTTCTCCTTCGCTCCTTGATCTCTGCCGCGCTTCACGCCACACGCACAATGGTCGCGCTACGTATGTGTGCATATGACGTTCGGCTGTCATACATGTAACACACATCTAAAATCTGCCGCCGGACACCATTCCTGCCGGTCGGTGTACATAGGCGACTGATCTAAAAGTGCAAATGTGCGATATCGATGCTTTTTTCCCGGACCACTCTTCGTATAGTGTTCAACCTGGACATTGCTTCGTAAGCGTACGATTTAATAAATAGATGGCTGTTCGTACCGCTTTTGCTCACAACTGTTCGTTAAGAGCAATGCGTGCACTGTTGTCGATAGTCTAATTGTCTCTCTCTGAATGCCCGTTCTGCTTCGGTGTATACGGAGTCGTCAGTTCGTGTTCAATGCCTTTTGACACTAGATAAGACAAAAAATCATGATTATCATATTTAAAACCGTTATCGCTTCGAAGAATCTTTACGCGTCGCTCCCACTTGTTCTCATTGTCAGTCAAGTTTACAAATTTCTTGAAGGCTTCAAGTGCCTCTCGTTCTTGTGACGCATAAAAAATATCATTCGAAATCCAGTTGCTTTGAATAAAACGAACCATCGCTTGCCACTATACGATGTCGTTGGAATGGATCACTGACGTCCGTATGAATCATTTCGCCTGGCTGATACTCGGCTTTATTTGTATTTGTTTTGAAAATGCGTCGACACGATTTTGCCAATTCCCATGCCTCACAGTGTATCAGAAAATATTTACGATAAATATTATGGTAAATATTATAAATATATTTATTAAATTATTATGATACAGATTTTTTAAAATTTATATTTTCTTTAATAAATATTCAGTAAGAAATCATGAGTTAAAAAGACATAATCAACGATTTTTTAATCAAAATAATTGGTTGATATAGTCTAATCTAAAATTTGGTCGATTAGATGTTTTTGTGTTTCTCTAATTCTATTAGCCATTTACAAAAAGTTAAAAATGCGTAAAAAATATTTATAAGTAACTTATTAGACATTTATTTTAAAATAGAATATAAAATTATAATATACACTGAATACACTTAGGTGAATACAACAGAGTAGTTTAATAAATTTTACGTACATATCGATATATACGTTTTATTTGTTAAAAGACATTCCGTTGCAGAATGTAGCTCAAAATAGAAATAATTTTATGACATTTTTAATTTTATTAATTTCCGTTTTTGCCATCCTTATATACTTCTCACAACGAAAATCAAATACGGGAAAGATACGTTATATAGCGGTATAAAAGAACTAACAATTTAGTTAAAAAATATTTACAAAATAATTAATTATTATAACTATTTATTTTTACATACTATAAATATTATATGAAATATTTAATCTATGTTTTAATATGTTAAATAAAGGTTTTTATAAAACATTTTCAAAATATTTACATACTCGTATATTATGAAAAATATATATTCATACATATTTATGAATCTTTATCATAAATATTATGTGCTGTCTGGATATATTTATTGGAGAGCCGAATTATATATTCTTAATATTGTTTGTTTACGCCTTGGCTGAAAATACGGTTTTATTTAGTTACAAAGGCAGAGAGAAGTATCGTTTTGTAAATGTCTGAATAGCTCAGTTGAAAGAGCAGTTGCGCGGCAAATAAAAGGTCTCGGGTTCGATTCCTGATTCAGTCGACTTTTGGACTGATATTTTTTTCGCTTATAGCTTTACAGAGGGATTAAATGCGTAACACAGGAATTAGAGATCCAAATCAAGGATACTATTTTTAATCAACGAAAAATTAATTTTCGTTGACGCAAAAGACATCGCGGTAGGCTCTACAGCCGATATACATATAGATTATTGTGTATTTACTTGGAGAGCCGAATTATATTCTTAATAACATATAGTATTAGTTATAACCCATAGTAAGAAATCTCATTCAACAAATATAAATATATATTCGATAATGTAAAATATAAAAATTTAAAGTATATTCGATAACAGAAGAATACCTTAATAAATAAAATCAGATAAGAAATATTTTTATCGGCTCTCAGTATTAATAATAAATATAAATATGATATTTTAAATCGGCCAATAGAGCCCAAGCGTGATATTCTCTATATTTAAGTTCGAGATTAATTTATATATGAAACTTAGTAATCTCAAATCAAGAGATACAGTTCCAAAGAATTATTCGCGCTTGAGCTCTATTGGTCGATTTAAAATATCATGTTTACATAGTCTTAATAAATAAATTTACGCACATTTACGTAAATTTATTTGTAAAAAATCATTCTTCTTTCGTTGAGTACACTTTACATTAGAAGAATATACTTATGATACTTTACTTTTAACAGTCTCTTTTTGCCAGCTTTATATAATTCTCTGACTAAAACTTACATGCGAGATAGATGACATCGTGCGTCGCATAGCGATAAATTAAGAATCTAAATTAGGACGTTTTCAAAACGTTTTAAGACGTGTTCAAAATAACGTCTTTATTTGGTCTAAAAAATAACGTCTTATAAACGTCCATTACTAGTCGCTGACGTCATAGATCAAAAATAGACATAATGATGTCTTTTTGCTACCGACGTCACTCTTCTACTTGGGGAGCGATTAATATTTATATAAAATATATCTTGTTTGCGCTAACTTCTATTGTTAAAATACTGCCAGAGTTATTTCAAACAGAATATAAGCATTTATTATAATAAGATTGACAGTTCGTCTACAATTCGAGATGTCATATCGAGATGAAAATAGATAAAAAAAACTGTTATTTCTCATTTTTCAGATAAAATTGAGATTCCCTGGGATGCATGTATTGCAATTGTAGAAAAGTATTATATATTCTGACAAATTAATACAGAAAAATCTTAAAAGTACGAAAATATACGACTGTGAAGGATCTCCTTAAGAGGATCTAAAGCCATCCTGTTTTATCGAAAAAAAAAAAAAACGATTATTTTGTATTGCACGTTTTTCTTCGTATTGGTTGAATAGAATAATAAATGCTTTTGCACGATTAAAGTACATATAAAAACAAAGTGGGGACCTACCGATTTTATGTTAAAACATTTTTTTAATTAAAAATTATTCGGCATTTGGCATTATGGCGCTACACGCACATCCTATGAGTTGTGATCTTACTAATGTAGCGGAATTGCGACCGCTCAAGTAAGTGAGATCTATATATATATATATATATATATATATATATGTATATATATATATATATACAAGGATAGATACCGCAGGCTTATCGGCGGACGATATTCATTTCGGTTTCTTTTACGCGCGATTGCGGCGGAGTATACATATCCGCTTATCTCCTGCGGAAAGCTATGAAGCGGGTGGTCGATTTATTTGTTTATTGAAAGAAAGGACTGACCAGCGACTGACGGAAACCGGCGACCCTTTGATTTTCAGTATACGAATGACGAGCTCGACGCTCGTCAAGCAGTACTCAGTTCAGCCTAGTCGAGTAAAGATCGCGTCCCAGTGTAACCTTCGGCCCAAATAAAGAAGATATTATACTTATGTTTTACGTTTACCTCGTACCTAAGTTTCCTTTTCCCTTTCTCCCGTAATTATCCCTTACACTAATATTAATCTAAATACTTATGTAAACAAATATTCTATAATTTTCATGCATGTAGCATCATTCTTTCTTAGTGTTCAGATTTCCATTTCCGTAAGTGTATTTAAAAAATGTTAGGAATATAGTGTTAATAAAAAAGTGTTAATATAGAAAGGTACTATATAATTTTTCTTACTAATTTCTTTCTAATTTTTCTTGACATTTGTATTTTTACAAACCTGGGATTTACTCCATTGAACATTCCTGTATTGATGAGATAAGGACAAACCAAAGTCATATGAATTCCATCATATCCATTCACCTTAGAACACATTAAACAATTAATGCAATAATCAATAATACCTACAATTTAACAAAAAATAGACAAATAATGTTCACTTTTTATGTCGAATATAACCCCGGTGTTTAAATATTGTATCATAAAATGTTACAATGAAATCTATGACACGGTTCAACAAATATAATTATTAACTTATAACATAACAAGTTTTATTTTTTATAAAACTAAGCATATCATGATTTTCAAAACAGTTTGTTGTGAAGATTAAGATTAATAAGAGTTTTGTGAATAAATATTGAATCTACGAGGGTCACTATTTATATTTCGGGAATAGGAACAAAAACAAATAGTTAAGCTGCGAATATATTTTTATTGTTTTTCAAAGTACTCGCCACGATGATCGATACACTTTTGCATGCGCTTAAACCAATTTTCAAAGCATTTATTCCATTTCGAATGAGGTATCTCCAAAACATGATTTTTGAACGCTTCAATAGCTTCTTCGGGCGATGAAAATCGTTGACCACGCAGTTTATTCTTCACGGATGGGAACAAAAGAAATCATTGGGTGCCAAATCAGGGCTGTACGGCGGATTACCCATCAATTCGATGTTTTGAGTGCTCAAATAGTCTCTTGTTTGAGCCGATGTGTGAGAGCTCGCATTGTCATGATGAAGAACAATCCGACGTCTCTTGTTTGTTTTCCTTATTTCACCGAAGATTTCTGGCAAACAGATGGTTGTGTACCACTCAGAATTTACTGTTCTACGATCCTCTAGAGGCACTGTTGCAATATGACCAGTTTTTCCGAAAAAACAGGCCACCATTTTCTTTGAAGTGCTTCGTGCGCGAACAACTTTTGTTGGATTTGGTTCATCTTAGAACACCCATACAGTCGACTGCTGCTTACTTTCGGGCTCATACGAATATATCCATGATTCGTCACCTGTCACGATTTTATAAACGTTTTTTGAAGCACCGCGATTGTATTTCTTAAGCATTTCTTTGCACCAATCGACACGAGCCTTTTTTTGAGCGATTGTCAAATTATGTGGGATCCAACGCGAACATAACTTTCGCACAGCTAAGTGTTCATGTAAAATCGCATATATGCTGGTGGAACTAATGCTTAGGGATGCCTCAATCTCACAATAGGTTACATGACGATCTTGCTTAATCATTTCGTGCACAGCATCGATGTTTTCTGGCACTACAGTCGATTTTGGACGACCTTCACGAAACTCGTCGGACAGCGAACTACGACCACGATTGAATTCACTATACCAGCGATACAGTGGTTTTTGATGGAGCTTCATCGCCAAAAGTCAAATTAAGTTGATTGACGCACTCTTGTTGTGATAATCCACGTCGAAAGTCGTAAAAAATCATCGCACGAAAATGTTCACGATTCAGTTCCATTTTTTGCCGAGACGAAACTTTCAACTAAATATAAAATAAACAAATAGCGTCCAAATGACAAAATGTTCTGAGTACGTATATCGTCAAAAATGTCAAACTTTACGATAGAACCATCAGATGGACTCACATGACATCAGTGTTGCCAATTCCCGAAATATAAATAGTGACCCTCGTATTATATTACAGAAAGATTTTAATTATAATAATAAAATAGATACTCTGTACGGCTTTTATTTTCACTAAAAAAATGAGAAAGATCAAATAAAAAAGTAGAATAAAATATTTGTAGTTTTTCTTTCTAATATTTTTAATTAATCGATCAATTTTCATTCACTATAAAACGCATGTTTTATTTTTTTAAATACGGTTATTTAAAGTATTTTTTTTTAAATTTTAGCATCTAGAATATTTCTGTTCTTTTAATGCCAAATAATGATACGACTTTTTGGCTTATTTTTCTGTACAAAATTGTTTTTGACATTTTCAATTTATTTACTTCATCAATACTCTATAGTTTATAATGGAGATGTACTCTGAGAACCGTTTTAACTTTAGGAATGTTATTATTTTGCAACAAGATGGTTATTTGACTTTGATTGGTATCATACATTAATTTTCTCAAGGAGATGTATCACAATTTTTTTCTACAATATTCTATAAATCAAAAGAAAGGTATGATTATCAGATTAATAGATAGAGCTTTCTTGTTATCCTATGTTTTCATAAAAAAAACTTTAGAACGTGTTATAAAAATCTTATTTGATAATGGAATTAATTTTTGATATTAATAACAATATAGATGCCGTCTTTATAGGAGAAGCGACAATTCTAAATCGCTCCTTTCTCTTAGTCTTTTTTTTGTCCCCGTAATATTAAATAACAACTTAAATTACAATATATTAAAAATTCAGCCAATTCTAGTTTTGAGACTTTTACGGCTATTGGAATCATCAATGCAAAGGCTTCCGGAAGGGTGCCATGTGATTAAACAGCGTAAGGCCGACGTTTCGCAAACGTTGCAGTTTGCATCTTTAGGGCTGAGAGCTTCGATACTGGACACAGATGAATATTGTAACAAAATCAAGGCCATGTTCTCAGACCACAATGTTTATAAAAAAACTGAAACGCAACCCGATCTCCAGCATAGAGAAGAAAACTTTTTCGCTTCTCAAGAAAGCAGGTCTTCCTCCCCAAACAACTAAAAAACTAATTCCCGAGACTCTACAGCCCCCAGACATTATGGTCTCTCGAAAATTCATAAAGATTAAGTTCCATTACGCCCTATTATCAGCGATATCGGAGGACCCACTTATCAATTAGCTCAGTGTGTTGTCAAGTTACTCCAAACTCTTACGGGACTCAATGATTCTCACATCAAAAGCTCAATAGACTTTGTGAGCAGGATTACCAAACTCAAAACAAAAACTAATGACATTCTTGTCAGTTTTGATATAGTATCTTTGTTCACGAATATTCCAGCACAAGACACTCTAGATATTATTAAAAAATCTGAAAATATTGACTCAATTTTTTTTCCATTAATAGAACATTGCCTAATCTCAACTTATTTCTAATTTCAAGGAGAGTTCTATGAACAAACCTCCGGAGCAGCAATGGGATCCCTCATTTCATCTATCATTGCAAACATTTTCATAGAACATTTTGAGAATAAAGTCCTGAAAAACGCACTTCTTAAATCCTCTACATGGTTCCGATATGTTGATGACACCTTTGTCATCTGGAGTCATGACAGAGAAACGCTCCCTTAATTTCTCAACTTTCTAAATTTCCAGCACCTCAATATTCAGTTCACAATGGAAATAGAACAGAATAATCAGCTTCCCTTTCTAGACGTGTTGGTTAAAAAGAACGAAGTCACTTTAGGCCATCGGATTTATCGAAAACCAACACATACGGATTGTTACCTCCATGCCACTTTTCATCATCACCCGACTCAGAAGAATTCTGTCATCAGTTCATTAATATACAGAACCTTAACAATTTCTGAACCAACTTCCTTGGATAAAGAATTAGAACATCTCAACGAAGTATTGACCAAAAATGGGTACAACAGCAAAGACATCACTCGAACAACTGAAAGACTGAAAAACAAAATTTCCAGTTCTACAAATATGAGTACATCAAGTAAAAAAGAATATAAAAAATGGACGATCCTTCCGTATCTTTAGGGTACAACAGAACGCATTAGCAGGATCTTGAGTAAACACAACATCAAAGTAATTTCTAATTCTCAAAATAAGATTGCGCAACTACTTCCTAATCCTAAGGACCAGAGACACTTAGAAATACCAGGCGTATACAGGATTCCTTGCTCCTGCGGAAAAGTGTACATAGGAGAAACTGGGAGAAAGATCAGCACACGAATTAAGGAACACCAATGGAGTGCTAAGTACTGTCATTTTAGTCAATCAGTCTTGGCAGAACATTGGATGGAGACAGGACACTCGGTACAATACGACAAAGCAACCAGACTAGCCTTCTCGCAAAGCTATTTTGCCAGGAAACATCGTGAAGCCCTAGAAATTCTGAAACATCCCGACAACCTCAACCGCGACAAAAGTTATCAAACAAATCTTATTTGGCACACTACCCTTAATATACACTCACACCACTAGGAGGCGTCATAACGGAATACTTTTTCGTAGATGAAAAACCTCCCACAATATAAATATATAAGGACCACAACCCAAGAAGGCTCAGTATCGGAGCCCTGAAGATGTAAACTGCAACGTTTGCGAAACGTCGGCATTACGCTGTTCAACCACGCGGCATCCATCCGGAAGCCTTTTGCATTGATAATTCAGCCAATTCGACGGAAAGCCATTTTCTATTATTCTATTGCATTAATTTAGAGTTCTTTATAAGTTCAATAGATATTATATTTGTTAATGTTAACACATCAGATATGTATTTAACAAAAACTGGAAAAAATTCCATATAAAAATTTTACAAATTTTTCTAATTTTTATCTCCACATTGATTTTGCCATTTTTTGATTCAATATCGGATTGTATTCAATTTAAATATAATTTGATTATTTAAAGTAAACTTTACTTAATTTTGAATGGAATAAAACTTCTTCAACATATTACACATATGTTATATTAGCATGGCAAAACATACTTTAAAATAATTTTCTGAACAATATCATCTTAAATTTCTTGTTTTGTATTATAAACATTTAGAAGTCGAACTTGTATTGAGTATGAAATAATTGATCATTTATTTGTTTTTATTTCTTGTAAGATTGTATTTGACGATAATAAATAAGTAATAAATAAATAAGTAATAAAGAAAAGAAGATATAAAAAATTAAATACTAATTATTAGAATACTCAATTTGCCTATATTACGATTGCTATAACTATTTACAGAGATAATTAGAAAATTGATTACTAAATTAATTAATCACAGATAATTCCGTAGGTAGATAGGACACAATCGAGTGTCATTCGATAATTACTTAATAATTTTTTACATACTTTAAGTTCTGTAAAAAGACTTTCGTGACATCCAATGGCTGCGAATTTTGTCGCAGAATAATCCGTGCATTTGTAAGTTCCTATGAGTCCTGTGACGCTTGCTATTGTCACGATATGACCATGGTTATTTTTCATCATATCTTTTAAAAATGATTTTGTAATCTGTGGTAATATTAGATGCAATATAGTCAATATGACTTCTACAAAATGGAAATTTAATGTTGATACTCACCCAATAATGTGATAGAATATTTACTTTAAAAGTTTGTTCGATTTCGCAATCTGGTAATTCCATAAAAGTTCTTCCATAGACATATCCAGCGTTATTCACTAATATACTTACCTAAAATAATTATTTATAAATTTTATCTTTTTGCTTTAGATTTTTATAAAATATCTTTAAAATTTAAAAAACAATTTAAATAATTTTTTGCGTATATAATTGAATGTTTATAGTGAGGTGTCATTATGATTTTTATTTAGAGTATATCATAATTTACAGAAAAAAGATTTAGAATTTTTGCGACTTATTTTTTATTCAGGAAAAGTATTATATAAATCGTGACCACAAATTATACATTTTGTATATATTATGTATTGTAAATAAAAGTTGAAGTTTCGTAAAATGACACTCTTATTCTTATGCGTTTTCACTCACATTATTACATGACAAGTGACTCTAATCATAGAGCAAAAAAGTAAGACCGAAAGTAAAACCTAAGTAGCACATAATCGTTTCAGAAATGTTTCCTAAATGTATTTACAATTTATTAACCGTTTAAGCATAAATAAAAAACGTTTATAAAACTGTAATTGGTAAATATGCCGATAGGAGGAGGCACGATTTTTTATTGCTAAATTATCGCCGATTAAATGAAAAATGAGCAAGTTGACTTTAATCGTTCATAACTCTGTTAAAAATAATCGTACCGCAATTTTAAAAAAAGATTATTAAAGCTGAAACTTTGCTCTATCGAACGCAATAATTGCCATAATTTTTACGAAATATATAAACTAGTTACAAATGAATAAAAATAATGTAAAAATTATCGATTTTTTCTGTTTTTATTTTGATCTAAAAAACAATGTATAAAACAATAACAAACAAATTTGTTTTTTACGTTTTTTTCTACTTTTAAGTACCCTGAATTTGACAAAAAATCGGCGAACAGCTACAAGATTTTTTTCACGGTGGCCGCTATGTTTGAAAAAGTCAAATCTTCAAAAATTACTTAATTTCAGTAAGAAAAATGGAAAATAAAGTCAATTAATGTTAAAAATTGATTTTCAGTTTATTACATTTACTACATAAACCTTTATTAACAATAAGTCTTAACAAAGAGAAAAGACAAATTGTTTGAGTTTTTCTCGCAACTAAAATTTCAAAAAGAAATTGAAAATTACGAGCGGAAATGTAAAGGTTAACCGATCATCATACAAGTGTTTGGACAACAATGCGCCATATAGTGCTCGCAAAGCACTATCGGGAAACTTTCTCACAAGTGCTCTCATACCGCACGCAAACCGCGACGCCTTGCCGCTAGGTGGCGATGTTTCTCGTAAGTGAAAACATTTCATGTACAACACTTAAAGTCGTGCGCACTGCTAGCTTCTACTCGAATTTGCTGTGATTAGCACATATGATTTCGGATGCTCCTATTTTATTGGCGATTTTCACTGATTATTCTTAATAATCTTAAATTTTAATATCTTTTTGTTTAATCTTAATTAATGGTTATTTTTAATATTAAATTTCTTCTTTCCTGTACCTTTTGCATTACTTTTTTCTCTCTTCTTTTTTTTCTTCCTTTTGCAATGCCTCTGCGTCATTTATCTGAAGCAAATTGTGCTCGTATTGTGACTCTTTTAGAGGAGAATAACAGTCAACGATACGTTACAAATCGTTTTGGAATAAGTTAGTCTGTCGTTAGTAGAATTTATTTTCGATTTCGAGAGACTGGCTCATGTCACAGACGGGCGGGTCAGGGTCGTCCTCGTGAAACAAGTATTTACAATGATGGAGCGATCGTCCGGCAAGCTGTACAGAATTGTTCTGTATCTGCACGTATTATCGCTGGCCATTGAGATCAATCTCAATTTCGAGATTGTTTCTCGACTTAGCTAATGGCTAAGCATTTGTCTCGCACAGCGAATATTCTTTCTATTCTTATTATTATTTGAGCGATCTTAATTTACCTTGTTATTATTACTCGCTGACTGTAAATATGCGTGATTCTTTTGTATACATTTAGACGAGAGAAGTATATCGGTTTGCTAAGGTATCTGGATAGCTTAGCTGGAAAGAGCAGCAGTCGCCCGGTAAGCGAAAGGTCTCGGGTTCGATTCCCGATTCAGCCAACTTTTTCGGACCGATATATTTTTCTCGTCTTTATTAATTTAGGGGGGAAAGGGGAAAGAGAAATTCAAATCTCAATTTCGAGATTGTTTCTCGACTTAGCTAATGGCTAAGCATTAGTCTCGCACAACGAATATTCTTTCTATTCTTGTTAAAAGATAATGTGTGCAAAACCTTTTGATGGATTTATCGAACATTTTAATCATAACATTTTGCAGAAACACTTGTTGAGCGAATTTGAAATTAAATAAATATATATTTCTGAATATTGGATTTACTTAAACTTAAGATACTTTCTGATTCATATATGATGCGCATAATGCATAATTTATCCTTGTTGCTCACTAAATGTCAAACAAGAATAAGTGATGCGCATCATGCATGAATCTGAAAGTACCCTTATTATGATTCTTTTTTAGAAAGATTCTTTATCCTTTTAAACATACAAAAAACTATGCTATTATACTTCAAGCTATATGTGAGTTGAGGTTTTTGGACTGCTTTACTGATTACCCAGGATCTGTTGGTGACATAAGGGTATTTAGAAATTCTGATTTTTGGCTAGAAGTGCAAAGAAATAGACAGTTATATTTTCCTAATGAGGAGTACATCATTGGTGACAAAGCTTACCCTGTCTTACGTTGGTGTATTTCTGTTTTTTTGTGATCGTGGTAATCTTACAGCAGTGAGTACATAATTTATATATTCGGTGTTTGTACCTAAAAAAATTTGTCTAAAATTATATTGATTTTTCATTTTTTAATTTTCCTCACATTCCAATATTTTATGTCCAAAACATAAAATTAAAGTATTTTTTTTTTACAGGCTAAAAAAAAGGTTCAATGACATATTGTCTTCAGTTAGACAAGTCATTGAACGGGCATTTGCATTACTAAAAGGGAGATTTCGGAGGCTAAAATATTTAGATATAAAAATCATATAATCGGCTAAACTAGCAAAAATTAATTTATTAATCTTCACGACGTTTCGACCATGTAATTATGGTCCTTATCAAGTGTACAAAAAATTAAGTCATAACAAAAGTTCACAAGGGGTGAAATGGTAGACCAGTGGGTTAAGTCGTAAGACAGTATACCTAAGGTCCCAGGTTCGAATCCAATTCGAGCCAATCACTCCACATGCCTGCCAGGAAAAAGGTGAAGAAGGAGGAGATGGAGAAGTGAGGAAAAGGAGGGAGCCAGGTTCGGCTGGAAGGAGAAGGAGAAAATGGAAAAAAGGAAGGAGAAGAATTGGAGACAAGGAGTAAGGAGATGGAAGAAGGAGGAAAAAGGAGAGAAGGTGTGAATGGAATAAAAGAGGCTGTAGAGGTTTGGGAACGCTCCTATCAGAAAAAAGCGCCGGAGGAAATTGATATGGAATTATAATGAGTGGTTAAAGGAGAATTGTAAAGGTTCGGGAGCGCTCCTATCAGAAAAAAGCGCTGCATATTTAACATATTGTAACGAGAAAAGAAGGATGTAAGGGGTTTGGCGGTCCCTTGAAAACGCCCCGGCAACCTCTAGGGGAGTCCGGAATAAACTTGAATAAAACAAATTATTGTCGAATTAAAACATTATATATCTTCATTCTGTTGACGATCGTTACCGTGACATGGTGTCTCTCGTCTTTTTATTTCTGACTAATGTCATGAAGATATGTAACGTTTTAATTCGACAATAATTTGTGAATTTTTATTATAACTTGATTTATTATACACTTGATAAGGACCACAATCACATGGTCGAAACGTCGTGAAGATTAATAAATTGATTTTTGTTAGTTTGGTCGATTATTTGATTTTCCTATTTATTGACTAGCGATTGGAACAAATTACGTTTATATTTTTCTACATATGAATAGAACGGACATAATCCCTTTCGTGATAATTTCTTACACAGTTCTTCTCAACATCTGCCTTGAAAGACATGATGAAAATATAGAAGAATATATCCTATAAGGCCGAGAACATGAAATATATGCTGGTGAAGATCCAGAGGCAGATGAAGATGATGCTGGTGTGGCAAAAAGGAATTATTTAATAACTCTTGTTTAATACCCAGATAGCCATAATAATTACATTATTTTGATTTTGTAATAATTACTATAGCTATCTGGATAGTTACGTAATATTTGACTACACCTATTAAATACTTTCCGATTGCACACGAATTGACAAAAATCTATAATACGCGTGATATAAACTATAGATTGTATTACGCGCCTTTTTCTTAAGATCAAGAGCCGATCAAGTGCAAGTGTAGTATTCGTACTACGCACCAATGTCGCCACAAACTTCAAAGTATAAAATTCTCGCTTCGGTCTACCTCCTGAGTCCAAGTGCAAGTGTAGTATTCGTACTACGCACCAATGTCGCCACAAACTTCAAAGTATAAAATTCTCGCTTCGGTCTACCTCCTGAGTCCCTAGTCATTCTTTTACTTTGTGCCGATAAAGCTACATGTGTATCGACGATATTTCAAAGAAAATGGAAAAAAGAAAGATTACAGACGGGTCCTCAGAGTTGAAGCATAAAGAAAGCTTACGGAAAAGAGTCAGACGATTGGGAAAAAAATTGATTTAAAAGAAAAAGAGCAAACGGGCAAGACACGATAAGCAAGTTTGGTTATTGTTAATTTTCTGTTTTAGATGGATTGATTGATTAGAAGGATATGTAGGCGAGGTTCGGGTTTCGGGGTACACGAGTTGCCTTGAAGAGAAACCTTCTCTAAGGAAGAGTTCTTGTTGAGACGTGCACATAACCTCACTGGTTAACTTCGCCGAGCATTCCGACAAGTGACGTCAAGGAGCTATGTGCATGCGTATATGTCAGGAGAATTGATTGCATCAATTTTCTTTTTTTATTATTAGGAACATATAAATCGTTGTAATGTATTGCATCAATTCTCCTTGAGAAGGCAAATTGAAGAATGTTCAATTGTGCTCATATGATACGTACATGCGTGGCGAGGTGTTTTAGTTCAACTAAT